TTTTTTTTTTTTTTTTCATTTTCATTAGGGAAGAGTGTACAGGATGTCCAGGGTCTCACTACTAGATTGGACTCATAGTGATTCACCTGTTTATAGCCTATGCAGATTCTTAATATTCTTGATTGACCACAAAGGCAAAGTTGCCCTCCAGCTCCTATGTCCTTTCCTTTGGCTATCCTCAAATTCCATCACCTTTTCTCCGTTCAGCCATTTTTCTAGAATTGTTGACAGTGTTACCTTCTCACTTTCAGTTCAATTCTCAGTCCATTATTGGATTTTGTTTCCATTTACTCTCCCGTCATTGATGTGAACCAATGGCATACATAATTTAAGGCTTGGAAATGATTTTCCATTTTTCTTAAGGGATCCTCACTGAATCTTTTAGCTGTTATGTTCCAAGCATAACAGGTCAACCACTTTTTCTCTTTTGTTTAAAACAGGCCTCGGCATATAAGCTTCCTACCCTTACATCCTAACAGGTGCCAAGATTCACCTTATGCTTGAGATTCTCTGCCAGAGTTCTGAAGTGATTCTGCTTCTCTAGTATTAAATTCCTGTCTATGTCCAGAGACAGGCATTTTAATTTTCCTTCATGCTTTTTTGTTTTCATTATTCACTTTGTGCTTCTCAATTTAAAATATTTACTGACAATATTTTCAAGAAGATCTACACCAACAAATGAAAGGTCCAGCACTTAACACCTCCTAAAAGATTATTCCTACTCCTTCTCAGCATATCTATAAGTTTCTTGGAGAATTACTGAACACTATTTCTCCCCAAATGATTAGATCCCTATTATAAGTAAATATGTTGGACTATCCTACACTTTTTTTTTAAGTTCAGAAGGTTTTTTTTTATGGCTCAGGATGCCTTTAGGGCATTTCTGATATGGCTTGAGGACCTGGGGATTGAACCACAGCAACCTGAGCCTGAATGCTCTGTTTAAGCAGTCACTTAAACAACTGTGCTAATGAGCAGGACCCCTATCCTACACTTTTGTGAGATCTTTAATTGCATATTTGTGTCTCAGCTCTTTAGAAAATTATTAAGATGATAATTGTTTGTTTTAATATATCATTAATCTATAGCCATTTATACAGTGACTTGCCTATATTAAGTACTCAATAAATATGGCATATATCAATAAAGTGTTGGATAATCAAAATCTATAATTCCACTTTGGTTTTTATGCCCATGATTATCTATAAGTAGATACATGACTTTCTTGTAACTTTTAGGACGATGTATCTAAATTGTACCTTAGATATTTTCAATTAACTGCAATACCTTAATCTTTGTATATCTTTTTTTAAAAAATGACAAAATAAATGACAGATGAACAAAATACAGTCTTTGCAATTGATTGTATATCTTCCCCATACTAATGCCTAAAATCAAATCAGCAATTGGCACTTGAGTGAGAAGTATGGCATAATCTCATGCATCATCAATTTGAAAGGATTTATCCACATATAACATTAAATCTCTTTCAGTCTCTTTCCTACAAGCCATACATAAAGTCTTCACCATCTCTTGTTATTTTTATAACTTATAAGATGTTTCTTAGCTCGAATCATGTCTTCTTCTAGGCTGGGGAGA